TTACAATGGTGCTTAATTTATACTTTTTTTGTTTTCAACTTAAAGTGTAATCAGTTAAGAAGTCAGGATACTGTGTTAGAGAGCCTCAGTATGCTGGTTTTATTTCTGTGAATTTTGTTGCCTCAGACACAACTGAGCTTACAGTACTTAATGGAAGGCAGATCAATCAGTGAAGCTAAGCTCAGCCTGACAAGCCAGCTGTGGAAATCTCACTTCACCACCTGGGAAAGCCTTCTGCTATCCACTGTCCACATTATAGACTGCTTCTGAGTTCTGCTGTGTCCAGAAGGAAAACCTAAACACTTCCAGAAAAAAAAAAAAAACAGCATGTTTACATGATCCGGGATCAATGCAGTGGCTGTTTTGCTGCTTGATGATGGTTCCTTTAGGTTTTAAAGCTGAACTATGGGGTTTATTTAACAAGTTTTCAGTCAGTCGTTAATATTGCAAAAAAAAAAAATAAATAATAATAATTTCTCAACTGTAGTAATTTTATTGAAAAAAATACAGGTTAAATGTGAAATTGCAATTAGTACAAAACAGCCTAGCATATATCTGCAATGCAGCAATAACAAAATCAATCAGTTCAACATTGCCCAGCAGCTGTAGGTAATAAATGTGGTCGTGTTAAAATCATGGCTTTATCAACTAAGATGAGAAACATAAGTTTTTGTTTTTTGCAGCTTCCCACCAATTGAATCCAGATTGGATGAAATGTCTTATTCAGCATCTACACTATTGATTGAGAGGCAGCCGTTTTAATGCTTTCTGTAAATCTTTTAAAAAAGATCATCCGTTCAAGCCTAGGTTAGGTGATGAAGGATTTAGCTTAAGCTCTTTACATTAGTTAAAAATAAGATTTAAAATGCAGCATGATGTTCAAGCCGCTGCTGTCGTTCAGATGATTCTACAAGACCTTCTAGGTTTTTGAAAGCTCACATTGATGTCACATAGACAGAGTTTAGTCTGTCTCATGTAAGCTGCGTGGGCTCTCATAATTGAACCAATAAATATGGCACCCAACAACACGTTGCTTTAAATGACATTTTATGGTTTGAGTTATTAAACTCGCTGAAAACAGTTTATAGAAGTGTTCTTTAAAGACAACTCATATTTTTGACAGAGATTCAGTCCCTGAGATTGTTCTTGTGATTTTTTTATTTTGATGCATCTGTAATGAGTCTCTCATTCAGTTTGAAATTTACACTAAATGCCTCTACAGACTGGATGCCAACTGCAGGGTTGCACAACCTACCCTGAATTGAAAGCCAGTATGAGCAAACCTATGACAAACGCAGGATAGTTTTAACTGATACATGGTGAAGCACAATGTTACATGAGGCATTTGATCAGCAAACCTTAAGGCAAACGATACAGGAAACATTATTTCTACATCCAATCAGGAAAGTTATTTCAAGGCAGCAACAGAAATCAACATTAAATCCCACGCTTTCCACAGAGGAAGAATAATTAGGGGCACAATCAAGCTGGCAAAGAGTGAAGTTGTGTCTGAGGCCTTTGGCACATAGAAAAACAGGTGAGTGGAAGCCGTAAGTTAACGAGAAGGTGAAAATCTGAAGCAAGTTTTTATTACTAATATTCAGGTTCTGTATTTGTAGGACATACCTGCATATTGCTGTAAGATGTAGATATTGCCTCATGCTGTCATCATAAATAAATCAACTTTAAAAAATGTAAGTGTGACAAAAAAAAACAGTGGTGCAGATGAACAACCAGTAACTGGATGTTTTTTTTTGTCATGTTCAGCTACTGATATGTCCATCTTTTGCATTTTTCAAGACTTTTTGTTCCACCCTCTAAGTACTTTGGGTAAAGTGTGTCTGAATGACATGTTTCTCTCTGACGACCTTCAAAGTGCAAAATTAATGTGAGCCTTCACTCTGATGATGATGATGATGATGATACAGATTCTTGATTTAAAGAATTTTAAACCATGGAAAATATATGACAGAAAATGTTTTTAAAACCATGACAATTTAGAATTTTGGCATAATTTGCTCATGGTAACCAACCCCTATCTTAAAAAAAAAAAAAAAAAAAAAACATTTACAGCCATGTTTCAAGATATAACCCTTCATACACATTAGCAGATGCAAACAAATGCTGCTTAACACAGAAAACCCCTCTATGAGAATCACTAACAGCCCCTTCTCCCCCTTGCTGTTCATAAACAACATGTCCCATCTAATTTAGGAACTCTTAATTTCTGTTTATCCATTTCATCTTGTACTTATTTCAACATCCACTCAAACTCTGATTCTCCAAACTCTCACCATGTCTCAGCTGTTTCAGTGCCTAATTGCCTCCTTAAAATCTCCTCTTCTCTGTTTCAGCAGTTTGAAGAACAGGACCTTGATTCACTGCTAATAATCCCATCGGGCCCAATTTAGCAACTAATTTAAGCAAATGTTTTCCAAAAGACTTCCGCAGCCTTCTACCACTGTACTACTTCTAGGTTGTGCACGCTGTTTTTAAAGGTACTGAAGTTGTCCAATTTGCCGAGCTGGTGTCCTAAAGAAATTAGCCTCAAAAGACCAATTAAAATACCTAAAAATCCTTAGATTTTAAAGTGACTTATATTCTACAATGAGTCTCAATGGAACTAGTAAGCCACATCACAATATAACACATCCACATACTGTTAAAACCAAAATAACCAACAAAAATCATATTCCCACTATACTGCTTGTTCTTAGACCTCCTCCTACAGGATTTGTTTGAACTTGCAACCTAATCAGCAGATATTAAAAATAACCTAAATAAAGTTAACATGTGCTCTGCAGGAAGGATCACATCTGCTGAACGTGATAATTGGATTGGTGGAGATTAAGACAAAAAAAAAAAAAAAATGCTGACCTTAAGAAGCATCTTTGAGACTCCGTCTTTATTGTATTTCTGACTCTATGATGCATTTCAATGATATTCAGTGCAAACCTTTGCCTGATGGTTATTAAAGTGTAAAAGCAGGTGAAGGATGAGCCTGGTGTCCGACAGGAGAGCAAAGTCGAGTTAGGATTTACCCGTCAAACGCATTCAATGTCAAGTCACAGAACAGCATGGTTGACATCACAATATATTGATGCATCTAAGTACAATTGAAAAGACAGGATGATAAGGAACACTTATATTTATCTTAGCTTAAACAGCTGCTAATGAATGTGACGGAAACATGTTTTTTGTTTTGCTTTTCTTTACTCCCCTTTCTTCCACTCCTCTCTCTCTACTCTGAGACCATTGGAGGTGTGATCACTCTGAGATATTTGTTGTGTAGGTGGCAGTTATGATGTGCTCCTTACATTTTCCGGAGTTGACACCTACTCTACTTTCATTTGCAATTTTAGAAAGACTTCCTGTTTGCTCTCTTATTTGTCAGTTTAACTCTGCTTGCATCTCTCCAGGCCATGAATTTGTTGGACACCGTTTATTTTGAACTTCCAGTTCATTTTCTATTCTGTCAACTCTTTTGCAGTTTTCCAGCTGTGCATTTCTACAATAACAATCTGGACTAATCACTTAGATGAAAAGGGACCTTTCGTTAAGGGTTATGAATAATGATGGGCTCGCTGTGATGTTTAGATCAAAGGCCAGAAAAATTTAGGTTGAGATGGAAAGCATTAGTAAACTGATCATGCTGGAGAGGAAATTTCGATCTATTAAGCAAATGGCTGCTCTCTGTGGTTACAGATAAGCAGTGTTCTGTAGACAAGCATAGCTGCAGTCACCCGTAGAAAATGAAACGTGCAATAATGATTGAGGTGAAAAAAATCTCATTAATGAGTCCTCTGGGACTTTTTAAAGAACATCTTTTTGACTAAGTGTGCTCATCTGTTTTCTCTGTACTTAACTTATTAAATGCATTCTTCTACTAAAGTGTCTTGCAAAAAATGTTAATACCCCTTAAATGGCTTCATAATGTCTTATATTACAGTTTTAAGTGTGGCATGCTTTTTTTCCTAGGTTCTTGTTTCTGTCCATATTCTTGTAGTCTTCGACCAGTTTTGCACACATAAGGACTTAAATATTTGTGATCTCTTTGTTACATAACTCCTCAAGCTTATTCATATGTTACCTGGAGTATCTGTCTGTGAACATCAAGTTTCAGGGCATTAATATATATTGTTTCAAACCACTTCTGTTACATCTTTGGCTTTTAATTTTAAATTGTCCTGCTGGTATGTGAACCCCCCCCCCCCCCCCAGTCTAGAGTCCTTTCCATTTATTTTTCCTTCTAGATTTTAAGGGTCAGTCATGTTAGGTTTACAGTTGTTTTATTCTCTCTGGCAGAATTCAATCTCAGCTCCCGAGAAAGGGTTAGGGTTAATATATATATATATATTTTTTTTTTTTCTTATTTATAAGAGTTGCAGTTTAATGGGCAACAAATACAGATGCACTCCACACTTCTCAGATCAATGTTTATGAATATTCTGTAAACCTTGTGTTATTGTCCTTCTTCTCTGCAGTTAAGCTCAGCTTTATGTTTACCCATCATATAAATCATAGCATATAATCCCAAACAATGAATTGAAGTTTTTATCAATAACATGATGAAACATAAAAGCTATTCTTCAGCTCCCTCTAAATGGTTTTAATTTTTCAAAAACCAATATCTATACCTATTTTATTCTTGCTTTAATACAGATGCTATTGTATGCATTCATTTAATTTTTTTAAGAGAATTGCCTTTCCAGGCATGTTTGGTCAGAAATAAATCATGCGTTCAGAATTTCATGGCAATTAGACACCCATGGTCCTATTCTAATAAATACTGACATTTTATCTTTGTCCAAAGGTCAATGACTAATTTATCACATCTACTTGATAAATTGGAAAAAATTTCCTGGTTCAAGAAAACTGAAATTAGCTTGCATCGCCTCTTCTCGTGTCAGTTTTTAATTAGATCTTTATTTCACTTTCTAACATTGATCAAATTTAATTCCTCTCTCTTTATTTATTTATTTATTTTTTTGTTGTCGCAGGTGCAGATTCCCACAGTGATGTAAGCTCAGTAAGCGGTGGTGCATCATGGGACAGCAGAGAGACATCCTTGGCAGCATCCATGGCCGCATCTCTGGCCTCCTCTCTGCCCCTGAGAGACATAATGGACCCAAATGAAGATGGTAGGCCAATGGAGCACAGTGACAGAGGTTCAAATGACTCTGTGGACAGTGGCTCCTCCTTTGAAGAACTTGACATGGACCAGGAAGAACTGGATGGGGGACAAGAGACAGAAGACGGAAAGGAGAAAGAAGAAGCAGCTGGAGAAGAGGAGAAGAAGAAAGTTCTTGGAGGAGGAGATGAGCAGGAAGGATGCTGAAATAATAAGGGACATAGCCATGTGACTGGCATGCTAGAGTTTCCCAGCTGTGCCGTTGTTGGTTATATTTTAAATAAAGTCGTTGGTGGATATAAAGCTCTTCATGGTCTGACTAACACCTAATTTTTCTGCATCTTCTAATAAAGCCTGCACTTTTTCTTTTGCATAATCTCAGATTTTAGAAGTAAGCCTGATTGCATGTTTAAATGCTACTAAGACCGAGTTTAAAACCTCTTGATCTGCAGCAGCATGTGTTTTGATTTCAGAGAAGATGAGCATATTGGTTTTTGACTCCTGGCTTAAGATCCAGGTTCTAAAGACATTTCTGAAAGACTTTTGGAAGATTTAAACCAAGAATGGTTGATTTGAGGTGTATATCAGGTGCACCTGCTGCTGTAGGGGTTAGACGTGATACAGTCTTTTTCAATTCTAATGAAAGAAGTTTTAAAATCTGAGACAATTAATCTGCTTATTTTAATCTATTGGGTTTATATCTTGAAATTTAACCAAGTTAGCAAATTCCTTTGTGAGTGTAAAGGAAACCTTTTTTTTCAGTCTGTTTAGATAATTGTTTTTAAATACAAATTGTCTTTCTATACTTGGATTATTAACCTACGAAGTATATTTTCTCCTTGCTGTCGCCAAAATTCACCTGCTATCAGAAACTAGTTGTTACCTCTTTGTAAATGGATATTGTACTGGAATTGTAGAGATGTATTGCCATGTTAGCACCCCATGTTGAATAAAATCTTCAAATGGAAAGTTTACCTCGAGATAATAATTAAATTCTCTCACTCTCCCCCCCCCCCCCTCTCTCACACACACACACACACACACACACACACACACACACACACACACACAC